CCACCCATGTAGACTTATAATCTCCTTTCTTAATCACTCGAGTTTTAAATTGATGTTCGAACATCTTATTCTAAGCTTTTGCCTCACTTGAATTTTAGGCTACTAAAGACAGGCCAAACAAGCTGTTAGTAAATACTCCCTTCGTTCCTTAATATAAACTACCTTTTAGAAGCTTTGTTTGATTCTTAACATAAGACATCTCATAAAACATGATGAAGCATTAATGAGTTACTTCCAAAAAGTGCTCATAAATCCAATTGGTTTGTTTGGGTGCATGTTTGACTTTAAGATTTAAGATTAAGTTAATAATTTTAATTAAGGGTAATTTGGATCTCTATGGAAAATTTTAAAAATATCAAGACTTTTAACTAGTTTTAACTACCTCTCTTAATTCATGTGATTTACTTAAAAATATTTTATAAATAAAATCGAAGGAAATAGTAAATCATAATAGTCATAACTTCATCATGTATGATATTAAAAACACAGTCACTATCTTATGGACATGCAAATGCAAGCTCACATGCTTGCTACCATGACTAGTGAAATCAACATGTAAGACCATAAAATAAAGCAAGCTTCATTTCACCCTCTCTTTATACTACTAGATGATCTTGGCAGCAAAAATTTCATGTAGTCTTGAAAGAAGAAAATTTGCATTTACTTTCTGCCATCTTATAGGGGGAAAAATAAGGCATTCAAATCAAACATGATGCATAATAATTAGATAAGAGGGAATGAAAAGAGAAAATAGAGAAAACAAACAGAAAAAAAAGCCTAGAGAGGAAGAGGAAGTTAGACTAGAGTGAATTATGTATCGTTACTGTTACAACAGTGATTTGAACTTGTATATCATAGTTATAGCTAGGCATATTCAGTAAAATTATAAACCTATTCTTCCAAACTCCAAATATTCTTTCTATTGTGCATCGTAAACTTAATGAAAATAATTAAAGACCTTATTGGTATTATCAAATTCAATTGTTCTTCTAAAATCAAAAAGATGGTAGCGTTCCCATTTATATGGTCCAAAATATTCATTTGGCGTTAGATAGCTAACATCCACCAAATAACATTTATCTTGTAAAAAAGATATTATTATCATTGTTTGTAAGTTGAAAAGTCCAACATAAATAAATTAAACCAACAAATATACCTGAAGGCAGATGTAGAAAGTTCACTAACCGAGTTGTCAAAGCACATTAAAAAATACAAGCATAATATGCAGTAACCTCCCATCTAGCCAAGACAAAAGTAAAACTCATGTCCCAATCACACACAACCATTACATTGAGTTGGGATTCTTTTTCTTCAAATATATTTTGATTTCTCATTAGTTGGGACTATATATGGATTATGTATACCAACAATTTCTCCAATTGCATTTTTGAAAAATGGCCAATATCAATTGTTATTTTGTCTTTTTTTATATGTGATGAGAGGACTTGTCTTGTGGTTTGATATATTCCATTGTAAGTTTAAAGCAAGCCATTAAAACTTTATGAAAATGTCTATGAATATTCTCTCTTGAGTGTTCAAAATTTTCTTGTGCCATCATACTTCCCAACCCATATCCAATTGTATTTAAAAATATTGCAACCATTTCTTTTACTCCCATTCACCAAGTATCCTCT